TACTTCGGCAGGCTTCGACGTTCGGAGTCCCGGCCGTGGTCGAGAACCCTGGACAGAACTGGGTGTGGCTACACCCTGCGTTTCGCCCCCCGCCTCCGCCGTCGCCGTCGACCTCCTCTGCTCCTGTCCTCGGTCGTGCTTTTTACACTGATTTTTGCGGTGAAGGTTCGCCCTGGCGGAAACGCACCAACTTCCGAAGTGTGAATGTTGACCTCGGCCCCGCGACCAAACGATGCTCTTGGCGTGGCGTGTGCATTTTCTCTGGTATTCCCCACATGCAACTAAAAAACTAGAACCCTGCAGGAATCTTCTATACCAAGCCTGCCGAGGCCTACCCTCGGAAGCTGTGCCGAAGGCTTGTGGAATGTTTCGAGCGAGCGTGCCTCGACCAGCATCGCCGTAATATGCGCTCCTATAGCCAGTAGTCTGGCTTTGGTCCTGTGGACTTCCTCTCGGGCCCTGGGGTCGCAGTCCTCGTGTTTGTTTGTGTGGTTCGGCCGCAAATGTCGGCCAAGGACTGGATGTGCCGTCGGCTGGGATGTGGATCCGTGTGTGTGTGTGTGTTTGTGTGTGTGTGTGTGTCTTCCGCGTGGGCTTCAAATTCGTTGTTGGATCCTCGGGGTGCCCCGAAAGTTGTAGAGAACCCGAGCAACCTACACATAGACATCCGTGGCCTTCGGCAGCGATGCACCGAAGAAGATGAACGGATCTTCAGATGCACATCTTTGTAGCAGTCTGCGCAGGAGTGGGCCCTCCGTCACCAGCCTGGCTTAAGTTCCCTGCTCAGCTTCCCTCCCCCCCCGCTTTAACCAGCGGGATCCGCGTGTGTGTCGCGTGGGTTTCAAACTCGTTTTTGGATCTTCGGGGTGCCCCGAATGTTGTAGAGAACGCGAGTTACCTACAAATCAGTATCCGCGGCCCTCGGCAACGATGCAGCGACGAAGATCCTCCTCCTCCTCCTCCTCCTCCTCCTCCTCCTCCTCCTCCTCCTCCTCATCCTCCTCCTCCTCTTCCTCTTCCTCTTCCTCCTCCTCCTCCTCCTCCTCTTCCTCTTCCTCCTCATCCTCCGCCTCCTCCCCGAAGTGGGAAGATCGGCAGAGGCATCCCTTGTTGGAGGTCCGCGCGGGTCCCTTGGGCCCCTGGCTCCGGGTCTTCCGTGCCCTGGTTGATTCCCAGATCCCCTTTCGGGTCCCGAAAAAATCACGGCTGGAGGTTTTCTGCTATTTTGGGTCTCTGGGGGCCCTCACCGGGCTTCGGGGCCGCCGCAGAACGATTCCGGATGAAAAACCGGCCCAGGGGAATGGATCGAGACCTCCAGAGGCGACGTTGTGAAACAATCCTGACGTCGGGGGTCCGGGAAAAGGGGTTCGAGCAGATGGGGTGATGGTGATGGTTGTGGTGATGCAGAACCGGGTGATGGTGATGGTGACGGGGTGATGGGGTGATGATCATCCCGATACTGGTCAACTGGGGGGCGCTGAAACAACCATTTCGGATCGTCTTGCAGCGTGGTGGGGGCAGAACTCTAGGCCTCCCAGACGGGGTCCGAGCAGATGTGGTCGGAGGATCGCGCCGCATCGCCGATGCATCGACGATGCGGCTCGATGTGGATCCAGAATTTCTCCAGGCTGGTGGCAACGATGCATCGCCGACGCCACCAATGCATCGCCGATGCATCGCCGATGCATTGGCGATGAGGCGCGATCCTCCGACCCCATCAACTCGGACCCCATCCAGGAGTCCAGGAGGCCTATAGTTCGGCGACTACAAAGGGTGTGGTTACGCCTGGGTGTGGTGTGTGATCTGCGTCGTTGGGGCCTGGGGGGCGCCACGTTGCCCTCGTCGGGTCTCCTCGGCGCGAGGCGGAGGATTGTGTCGAGGTCCTCGCTCGCCCCGCAGGGTGCGCGTTGCGAACCACACCCTTCGCAAATCACACCCGTCGGAGTCGCCGATCAGTACGCGTAAGCTGCCCTGGACAAGTACGGTCTGGAACTTGTGCTCAGCGTTCGGCTCCGCAGGTTCTGGCACCACGCGTCGGCACGACACGCTATCCACGCCTCCATTCCCCCTGGCATCGCTCGGACGTGTGCATTTTTTCTCGGCGAGAATCATTGAGGACGATCCTGGACCATCGAGCAAAAAAGACACGCACGAAACCGAAAAATGCACGGGAAATGGACGTCCGAGCGATGGCGAGTCCCAAGCGTCAACGTCCCGAGCCTGTCCCAGTCTCCCGCCCCACAGAGCGGAGCGACACGCTGTGCGGTCGCAATACATAACGTGTTGCCAGGCCGCCGCCGCGACACGACACGCTGAGCAGCAGTTCCCGACTGCAGTGCAACTGTTTCACATTTCTGTTCGATGTGTGTTCCTCGTGGTTTCGTGGTTCTCGGCCTCTGGGGGCCGTTTTCGGACCCCAAGGCCATCAAAAACTAACCTGGGATGAACAACTACATTAGATGCCTCGATACGTCGATGTTGGGACGCAACGCGTACCGAGATCAAAACGTCGGTGTCAATACGCTGCGAGTTGGCTCAACGTTTTTGCGAACGCATCGCGTCAGACCTACGTTTTCAGTCAACGTGTTGAGCTTCGTATCGATACGCTACGTGTTGCGTGTTGCGTATCGGGGGAGCTAAGACAACTGGCAACCCTAGGGAACTCCCCTGGGCGGCTTTCCAACATGACCTGAAACAGTTGCATTGCTTCTCCATGGGGTGTGTCAAGTCAGCCCGCGTAGTAAGGATAAGCGACTTTCCGAGGCCACCCCTGCATCCTTGCCTCTTCGGCGCATCCTTAGCGGCTTTTGCTGGCCAGTCTCGCCCGAAAAACGTTAACATGGCCCTCCAGGGTACTTGCATCCCTACCGCGCACCCTTGCTTAGCGGGTTGACTGTATACCAATCCCAGGGAAGTCCCCTGGACGACTCTCCAACTCGACCCGCCAGAGTTGCACTGCTTTTCCATGGGGCGTCTACGAGCGCCCCTCCGCTAGAGTGGCCTCTTCTTGGTGCGGGCCCACGGGGTCCCGCCAGCACCGGCTGGCACGCCTGGACTGCTCGCATTGGGCCTCCCCCGTGGCCCCCTGAGGCTCCAGGCCTGCCAGGTGGGGTCCGCGTAGGGTCGGGGAAAGTAACTCGAGTACGCCAGAACTTTGGTCTGCTGACACTCTTTGACGAGCGCGCTTTTTGGATTGTGACTGTCCGGTTTTTGGTGGGATGGTTGCAGCGGGAGCTCGCGGCAAATTCCAGATTGTGTCTCGTCATTTTCATGATGGCCCCGTCAGGCTAACCCGAGTCCCCCGAACCCGAGTCTTACGTCCCCCCGATAAATGGGGTCGGGAGATCGCGCCGCATCGCCGATGCATCGGCGATGCGGCTCGATGCGAAGCCCAATCCTCTCCACGCCGACGTCGCCGATGCATCGCCGACGTCGCCGATGCAGAGTGATCCTCCAACCCCATCTCGCTGCTCGGACCCGATTTGAGCAACCGAAGACAGCGAGCCCAACTGCGCCGACATTGCCGCGTAAGCTGCCCGCGCAAGGCCGCGCACGAGCGCCCTCTTCTCCACGCGGTGTGCCACGCTGGCGGCCCGCGGCAGCCGCGGCGCAAGGTCGCTACGTCATGTCGCGGAAGACCTTGGTTCTCGCCTTCGTCGTCGTCGTCGCTCGCTTATCGGAACAACTTGGAGCAGGGAGGCCTCCACGAAGGCCGCGCACCGGAGGCCACTCTGGCCCATGGGGGTCGCCCCCGGGCCGCAGCCGACCCATCGTGGGTTGCTACAAGTGCCCCTGGCCCAAGGTGCCCCTCGTTCTCCTCTTCCTCTTCCTCCTCCATTCCTTGTCCTTATGAATATCTTCTCCGTGTCGCACCCCGAGGCCAGTTTTTAGGGCGGGCCGGGCGTTTCGCCTGAGACTTCCTCAGCACCTATTATTCTGAAGCTTCAAAATTGGCAACCGTTTCACAGATGGAGGGCGGGCCGTTTTCCAAGTGCGGCTCTCGCCTTAACGCCGCGTGCACTCGTTCTACAAATTTGTAAGAGCTTCACGGATTGAGGGCGGGTGGTTTGCAAAAAGTGATTCTCGCTTTAGCGCCGCGCACATTCATTGTACACATGTGGAAGAGTTTCACGGATTGAGGGCGAGTCGTTTTCAAAATGTGGTTCTCGCCTAAGCCGCGCACATTCGTTGTAAGAATTTGCAGGAGTTTCACGGATTGAGGGCGAGTGGTTTTCAGAATGTGGTTCTCACCTTAGCGCCGTGCACATTCGTTTTAAGAATTTGCAAGAGTTTCACGGTCTCTCATGATCAACGTACCAAAACTCGTGAGTTGGAAGGGTTCAGAATTTCGCGGGCGCAACGGCGCAACAGGTACGTTGATTTGCGGTGTTGAAGTCCTAGGAATGGCGTTCTGGCACGATTCAGGATTGCCAAGACGCAACAGTCAGGTTGATCCGTGGCGTTGGAATTCCCGAGAACAATGTTTATGCATTCTTCAGGGTCTTCAAACGGTTGTCTTCCAACGAGGCAGTTCCCTCAATGGAAGCGAACTGTTATAGGGGACCATGGGGGGAGCTTGGAGGAAGGGTTTGTTCCAACATCGTGAATGACTCTTGGGTTTACACTGGTCCTCCTCCTCCTCCTTCTTTCTTTTCCTCCTCCTCAATCTCCTCCTGCTCCTCCTGCTCCTCCTCCTCCTCCTCCTCCTCCTCCTTCCCCGTTCCTCCAGCCTTTTCCAGCTTTCCGCCCAGTTTGGGAGCCCCCTAGGGCCCTCTGGGCCTCGTGGGGGCTGCTCTGGAGACCGCGGGGGCCTCCCTGGCAATGCTCGGGGCACCTTGGGCCAGGGGGCAGCAGCTAAGGGATGTCGAAGTTCACAGGCGCCAGGGCACGGGTGGCGGCGCCAGGCACCCGAATCCCTAGCAGCCAAGGGCATCCAACTTCGAAGGCGCTGCCCCAAGCCACACTAGCAGCTCATAGCAGCTAGCCACACCCGAGCCGAGGCGCTGCAGTCCGGGCGGCCGCTGGAGCCCCTGCTCGGCTCCCTCGCGGCCGGCGGCCAGCCGCAGCGCCCCGAGCAGCTGTTCGCGAAGGCCTCGCTCGGTGGCAGATCGCGGGAGCCTGGTTCGGGCCGGACGGAAGGGGGGAATTGGGAAAGGGGGGGTTACGAAAGTTCCTGCATGCAGCTAGTTTCGGCCTCACCGAGGGGCCCATTCCTCGATACATAGCCGCCTCCGGCGCCGGGAGGCGCCGGGAAAATCAGCTACGCGAGCTGATTCTCAAGCCCCCCTTTTGCTATCCCCCCCTTTCGCCCGACCCGACTGGTGAACCCTGCTGATTCCGTCTGTGGCGTGGGATAGCGTCGATGAAGGTCTGGCGTCGGTGAGATGGCGCCGATGTGGCGTCGGCCAGCGTCGCGATGAGCGTCGATTCAGCGTCGATTGGCGTCGATTCAACGTCGATTCGCGTCGATCCGCAAGGGCCGACACGACGGTTGGGAGGCTCCCATGGGTTGCCACCGAGCCTCGGGGGCAGCGTCAGGGGGGAAGGACTGGCCCAGGGCTTGGCATCGCTCGGACGTCTGGCCCAGGCCTCGGCATCGCTCGGACGTGAGCGTTTTCATTCTCTGCGAGGGCCTTCGAGGCGCAGCCTGGAGCCTCGGGCACGAGACACGCACGAGACAGAGAGGTGCACAGGGAATGGACGTCCGAGCGATGGCCAGAGGGGCGGGAAGCATCGATTTGGAATCGGCGACACGTCGCCGCTAGGTGGACACGCCCGGTGGGGGGGGCATTGGGATGTAACTCCTGGGAGGTTCAGCTCAGCATCGACGCATCGGCTTCGAGCGCCGGCCTCACCCGGCAGAGTCCCGCTTGCTTCCGCCGCTGAATCCGGCTTGGTCTGGCTCAGTACAGCCTAATCTTGCGATCAATATGAGCTAGTCTGGCTCAGTGCCCCCAACATCGGGCTTGATGGCTCCCACTCGTTCTTTCGAAGATCTCCCAGAGGTTGCCTCCTAAGAGGGGAGCGTCGACCTGGAATCGGCGACACCTAGCCGATAGACGGGGCGGCCCCAGAAGGATCTCGAGGTCGAGGATCGAAGGCGCTGCCACGTCGTCCTTGGCGGAAGGCGGCGGAAGGGCGGCGGGAGCCGGCCGAGGTAAAACACGGCTCAGGAGGGAAAGAAACACACAGACACAATTTATCGTCGACTCCCAGGAAAATATGGGAAGTGGGGGGGAAGACACAAACCCAGAAAATATGTGAAAATATTGGGAATCCTGTTATTTGTGTGCATTTATTTGTGTGTCCCAGGGCCCCTTCAAGGGCTACGTCCGGCGGAAGGACGGCGGCAGCCGGCGGAGGCAAAAGTGCACGCCCCCAGGAGCCACGCAGTGGCCAAGCGTCTTGGCGTGCCTATAGGCCTACCAAGCAATGTTCTGAGAACCTTTTGTGGCTTCCACGAAATATTATCAGAACACGTTTGGCTGGGATTGTGCTGTTTTCACACATCGGGTTTATACTCTATGCCACGTGTTTTTGTTATTAGAACGTTCTGGGGTTTTGAGAACATTCCGTGGTAGGCCTATAGGAATGCTGGGACGGCCGGTCTCTGCCCACAAGAGATGACAATATTTTTGGGTTCATGGTCTCTGGAACGCGCCAGATCGGCGATAAGCCATCGATCCTGTGAGTAGAACCCGTATAATACCTTCATATATACTCCTTATCCTCACCTCTCCTGCGCCTGGCCGTTTGGGCTCAGGTATTGGAATAGATCGATCAGACCTTTGATCGTGCAGGAGGAAAAGATATCACTCTTTCCCTCCTTTCCTCTACCAACGGATCAGGGGTTATGTACCTTTGTACTCTAACCCCATACACAGGTTATCAGCCCTTTAAAGCTCACAGTTCATCGAAACCCGCGTCGCGATCTCGCACGCGGCCTCGATGGAACCCAAGCGGCGCATGCGCCGTAAGGGGTCCGTCGGGGCCTCGCGTCCGAGCTCTCCGACGGCGCGACGGCTCGGTGATGAGTTGGAGAGCCTTCGCGTGGACCGTGTAGGTGTCCCAGATACCCCCCCCCCAGCTCAGACGGACCCGAAGCGCGGCTAGCTGCTGAACTTCACCGCCACGCCGCCCGCGGGGGGACAGGAGAAGGAGTAGGAGCAGGCAGTAGAGAATTTCACACGCCTGCCTTCGATCCTCCATCTCCTCTTCCGTCGGGGGCAATCCCAACTGCGTCGGGCGCCAGCCCCACTGGTCCTGATACTCCAGGGCGCTTTCGCGCTAACCGCCGATGGAACACAGGTACTGGCATGACCAGCCCTGCGACCGTTCCTGTAGCGGAGCACGTTGCCACCTTCGAGGAACTCAGTAGACCAGTGACGGCACAGCCGCAGATGCAGTATCCCCAGGTATCATCTCACCAGACACCACACGCACACGGCCCTAGCCGCAGCTCGTCCTTGCGTAACCGTCGTGAGGCCACAGGCCCATATGACGAGAAAAGGTCGAGCCCGCGTGCTGCCTCACAGAAGCCATGCACTCCTCGCGAGAGGATGCAGAGGGAAGCTGACGCCCCCCACCTCTCCCTCTCAGACGACCTGCCGGCGGCAACGTCCGCTGCAGGCGAAATAGCTGAGCTCAGAGACCAGGTTGAAACCTTCGTGTCCAGCCAGTACTCTGGACTGATGCAGAGCGTTCAGACGAACGCTGCCGATGCTGCTGCTCTACGTCAAGATTTCGACGGCGCCCTAGCGATCATAGATTCCAGGATCGCTGAAGATCGCCGCATCTTAGGTGAGCTGCAGTACCAGGTTGACCGTGAGATGTCACACTCAGGTGAACGATCAGCGACGGTCGAGCACCTGCGCAACTACCTTGCGCAGATGGAGCAACAGCTTGTGATCATCCGTGACACAGGCGTTTCAGCAGTCAGGATCCTCCATGACGAGATCCACGACCAGCTCCGCAACCGACCGTCACCAGCCGAGGCCACCGACCTTGGCGATGTCCAGTCTCAGATCAACGATCTTCGATCCCATATGGACCACACTACAGCGACGCTTCGTACCGAAGCGCACACCAACTCGTCGAACCTGATCGGCACGTTGCAAAACACTGAGAGAGTTATCGCTCAAAGGCTTGATGCGACCAGCGCTGTCGTGCAGCCACTCACTAACGGAATCTCTGAAATCGAGCAGCGTTCCCCTGGTGTACAGGACGCCCCGGCAGAGTTGCGTGTCGGACGAGCCCAGACTGGCCAGCTGGATTCTCCCCCCACGGTTTACGATTTCGCCCGCCTCACTGACAGGTTGCAGGAGGTTGAAAAGGCGGCGGACCACGCGAAGTCTGAGCTCTCCCAGGTCATTCGTGAAAGAGATGCTGAAAAGGCACGTGCCGAGGAGTGTCTCGCACGTCTGGACAGTGAGCTGGAGGCGCACAACGCCCGTCTCCGAGCCTACGAGCAACGACTTGATCGGTATTCTCAACGCTCTCGGGATACTGACGAGTACACACGCCAGAAAGTGGACCAGATACACGAAGATATGACGAGCTTGACAAATCGGCTGACTGACCACACCAACGACACCACACTTCACCTTCAGCCTGCAACCGACCTGCCCAGGCCGACGGCAGCGTCCGCTGAAGCACCACACGCTTCTGCAGGACAACAACGGCGTACGTCACCAGGAGCAGCCCCCGCGGCAGCTTCGGCGCAGACACGCCACGTGTCTCCCGTGCGCACAGAACCAACTACCGACGGTGTACCGATACCCTCACAACAATTGTCTGAGGCTTCGGTCAATACTACTACTCCGATCAAGGGTCAGACACCGTCCGAGCCCCTGTCTTGCCTAAGATCACACAGCTGCTTGAGTGGCAGCAAAAGGTACGGAAGAATTTTGGGGCCGCTTCAGGGCGACCATCCACAGCATATGCCTTCCTACGCGTGGCTGAACAGCCCGAATGTACCTTCGAAGATTTACAAGACAGCGGAGACTTCGAGAGCATCGATTGCAAACTCGCTACCGCTCTCAGCGACATCTTATCTTCCGACTTGCGCTACCAGATCAGGTTCATCGAAACCAGAGAGCACAAAGCAGGACGCATGCTCAAAGGACGCCAGATCTACTGGCACATCCTACAGTCCTACAAAGTGACAGAGGTTGATGACGACCTGCATGATTTTGAGCGCCTCAAAGAACTGAGGATGAGAGATGAAGATTTGCAGCGTTTCATTACGGACTGGGACGCTTTACTGTTGGATTGCCGAGAGGCACCCGACCCAAAGATCTTGGAATCTCTGCTTCGCACGCAGATTCGCCGACATGCCTGGATGAAACAGGATATGTACGAATACCAGCGCATGATGATCAGCGACAGGAATCGTACCTATGATTGGCTCCGACAGCGCGTTCTAGACGTACTGGAGCTCAAACAACTGGAGACGAATCAAAACAAGTTACGGTACGAGCATGAGACTCGTTCTCAAGTACATATCTGCGCTGCCTGGAAGAATGGCAACTGTCGCAATGGTGAGCGTTGCAAGGCTTTACATACAGTTTTTTTCAGGGATTGGAAGAGCAGCAGATCTTCCAGAGCATCGACCGCTGGCGGCAACTCTCACCGCAGCGTCTCAGCCCCTGCGAACCCCAAGAAGCCAGCATCGAAGCCATTTTGCTTCGAGTTCGCCAAGCGCAGCACCTGCGCCCGAGGCGACAAGTGCAACTTCCCAAACATGGCGCAGCGCAGGGACTTCGCACAGAACAAGTGCCACAAGGGTTACAAATGCAAATGCGCTCACCTGGCACCTGGTACGAAGACACCTGAGCGAAGCCCCAGTCGCCCACGGACCCCCAGTCAGGGCAGTCGCGGCCGACCGCCGCCCCGCGGATCGGGGAGCCAACGCTCTCCACAACGCGGGGGGGTCCGCAGCGCGGGGGGCTCATGCAATAGACGTGACGACCGGCGCCAATACGACCGCTCTCGATCATCCTCCAGGAGGTCTCCCGACTCTCGCAGCCAGTCGAGAAGTCGCTGCGATAGATCATCGCGATCCTCCTCCCGAGGACGAGACGGGCGTGGC